CTTTTTTTTTATATAACTTTTATTATTAAGATAATTAATAGTAAAGCGAGAATTCATTTTCCTTTGTCTTGCGATAAGATATAATTTTATTTTATTACTATTATTATTGTTTTCTTTTGGATATATGTATTTGGATATATAATTTGGAAATATAATTTTATAACTTAATTTTCTTTTTCTCAAATCACTTCTTCTTCGGTTCTCAATGCTGCAACTATAGAAGAGACAAAGGATCGTTCGATGATCTTAGTTTATACTAAAGGGGAGGCTTGTCGCACTCAAATATTCCTAATATAAACTTTCCAACGAAGGGCTAGCTCGGAGAGTTTTTCATTGCGCAACGAAAATTTAACCGAAAACGAATTAAATGAATTCTCGTTTTGCAATAATAAGATTTATTATTAAGTATTAACGATATCTCCGAAAAAATATTAGGTCTTAACTTTATTTTTCTTTCTTTCTTTTCCTATTTTCGCGTAAATAACCGTAACACGAAATAAAATGCTCAGTCGAGAAGTACTTTGTTTGCCCTTCCCTTTTGCATCGGACCCTACCCTAGAGATACGGCTTGGATGCAGATACGGCAGTTCTCCATAACGAACCTCCAGAAAGTATAGTCGTCGAATCATTCCACTGAATCAAATCACCGAATCTTTTACTATTAAGGACGAAAAACTATTAACTATTAGTGTCGGTCCACAATAAGTATTTAATCTTTAAGTCGTAAGAAATTGACCAATCATAGTCGATTATTCTTTTCATATTCGATTATAATTGGTCAATTTCTTACTTCTTAAAGTTTAAATCACCTATGTGTCGGTCCACAATAGGTGATTTAAGCTTTAAGAAGTAAGAAATTGACCAATTATAATCGAATATGAAAAGAATAATCGACTATGATTGGTCAATTTCTTACGACTTAAAGATTAAATACTTATTGTGGACCGACACTATTGTGGACACTTAAGTGTCGGTCCACAATAGGTGATTTAAGCTTTAAGAAGTAAGAAATTGATCAATTATAATCGAATATGAAAAGAATAATCGACTATGATTGGTCAATTTCTTATGACTTAAAGATTAAATACTTATTGTGGACCGACACTAAGGAAGGAAAAGGAAAGGAAAGAGAATTTGTTAGAATTTTAAACTTTTAACTATTTACTTTGAACCACTTAAGATAATCATTTCTATTATTATTATTATTTAGATTATTATTATTATTATTATTATTTGATTGGTTGGTTTCTTTATAAATTAAATTCATATCACATTAAATTTATATTACCTTTTTGTGTTGCTCTTTATAGTAACATTTAAATATTGTACTATATTTTTAATTACATTATATTATTATTATTATTATTATTTGACATTCCTTTTTATATTGTTGATTAATATTATTAGTATTAAACCTATGTCAAATTATAATTTGTATATATACAGTGTACATATATACACAATACATATATACACAATTATATTTGTATATATAATGTATATATACAGTGCTGATACTTTTATCCACTTATATATAATAATAATTTTTGTCGTATACTTGAAGCTCTTATACTATGTTTTCTAGCCATCATTCCCATTCTTATTTGATATTGTCTAATTTGTTTTTCTATTCCACATATAATTAGGTCTATATCACAATGTTGTTTTATTCACCATTATGATCATGATATATTTTCCATTGACATTATTATTATTATTGTTATTCTATCTGCATTATTATTATTATTATTATTATTATTATTATTATTATTATTATTATTATTATTGCCACTTTGTTAATATTGTTTTTACATAACTCTTTATTGATATTTCTGTTTACGTTTACATTGATCTAGGAAATTATCTTTATTGCGAACCAAATCTTAAATTGTAATTTCACGAACTCTAATCCAAATATAATCATATTTAGTATCCATAAAAGTAGAACTCGCCAGAGTTCCTTTTCCCAAACTCATTAACCGTTCTATGCCATCTCGGAACGTAACAGAGCGATCCGTCAGTGCTTATCGATCACAAACAGAGGATCTGTTCTTTTTAGCTGGTTGCACTAGTTTAGAGTTTATCTTTCTTCTTCCAGTGTAAGAAAAAAAAATAAACTGTGAACTAGTACAATCAGTTCAGCCAAAAAGAACAGGCCTAGAGTCTGCTGGATGGACGCTGCCTTGAGATTTTTGAAGATCACGTGACTTACAGGTTACCTAACTACTTCATTTTAATAATACACGTAAGTCGTGTTAAAACATAACAGATTGCGATATTGGTTCCTTCAAAGCTTCTTATCCATCGGTTTCTCTGTGATACTGACTTCAGCCGTAAAAATATTGATCTGCGATACATTTGTGCCTGATCTGAAGAAATCGGGTACAAGATCATCAAATAATTTTACATGTGCATTTCTCGATGCTAGGTATATCACCACTTTATATATTTACTACATTACTGTATACTTTACTTTATATATTTACTACATTATAAAATTGAATGTGATACATTAAATTAAAGATTAAAGTTAATGGATATTAATAGAAATGGATATTGATAGAAATGATTTTCTTATTACAATTATTAACATCTAATAATTTTTCTGTTATGCTTTTAGATTTGTTTCTTTGAAGCTTCTTATTCATCAGTTTCTTCGTGATATTGGTTTCAGTTGCAATATTGATTTGCGATACATTTGTGCCTGAAGAAATCAGGTGTGAGATCATCAAACAATTCTACACACGTGTTTCTGGATGCTAGGTATACTATCACTATATACTTACTGCATTACAAAATCGGATGCGATACATTAAGCATGATATTTAATACTAATCATATTGCATAACTAATGTCTATTTCTACTAATGTAAATTAAATTAAATTTTAATTTAATTGATTCTTTATCTTTTTCCAGTTCATAGAATCAGAGAAAGATAAAGAGTTAACTAAATAGAGATTAAAGTTAGTGGACATTAGAGATTATTAGATAGAAATGGACATGATTTTCTTATTATAATTATTAACATCTAATAATTTTTCTATTACAGTTTTAAATTTTCTTCGAAGCTTCTTGTTAATCGGCTTCTATGTGATACTGGCTTCAGCTGTAAAAATATTGATTTGCGACACATTTGTAGAAAAATCTTGATCTGAAGAAATTAGGTGCAAGATCATCAAATAATCATAATTATAATAATATCATTATTATATAATATAATAATTATAATAATTGATACTAGTTGCCATTTCCGCTTAAATCTGCTACCTATTTGCTAGCAATTACTGATACTTTGTTTATACTGAATATGTTACAAATTCTATACGAATCTTCCTACGGTCTACACAGATATACGTTTACTATTTTATATAAACTCAACTAAATTATTGTAAACATATGCGCGCACGTGTACGGAATGGAATAGGAATACGAACTATAAATATCCATAGGATGAATAAATAATATCTCATGAATTATAAATATCTTTATTGAAAAAGTATAAAATATTTCGATTCAATATTTGATTTTAACACATGAAATACAAGATAAATATCTTGTAGACTAAGATAATCTTTATACAAGGTAAATATCTTGTAGACTAAGATAATCTTTATAAAAAAGTATGTATGTATATATATATATATATATATATATATATATATATATAATAATATTTTATATATATATTATATATATATATATTATATATATATATATATATATTATA